CTCAGATATGAGCATTCAAAGGAGATTTGAAATGTCATCCTTCCTTTGCCTAGTTGTTTATTCTGATTTCTGAGCAAAACAGACAGCTGTGTAGGGTCCAGTTGTGCTGGAGATAGTGTGCTTTGGGAATGGTGAAAGCTGGCTTTCATGTCCCTCTCTTCTCTTGTGCTTCACATTTCTTTCCTCCTATTGTACTGGCACAACAGCTTCTGGATCAGGGAACTGATCCAAATGGAAGAAAACCMCCAAGAAGAAATTGGTTGGCTCCTGGACTGGGCTCCCAGGGCAGCTGCACAGCATAAAAGCAACATGGAGACAGGARTGTAATTTGGGACAGAGAGAGACAAGCTAAGAACTGTCACAGACTTCAGATGCACAGACAGTCTTACAAATGGAGCTTCCACTACTGAAGGTGAACACTTCCTTCTAAACCTCTTCCTAGACAAAATTATTAACCAACTTTCATGGCATCTGCAGCCTTTTTGGCACCCTGGGTTAGGCCAGACTGCAGCGTGTGCCTACTGTGCCCTCCAACTCAGCCATATCACAGCTCCGTGGGAACAAGGGACAATTGTGATCTGTGGCTTCCCCCTTGCTCTGTCCACAGTGCCAATGGACACAGAAGATGTGAAAAGGAAAACAAACAGCAGATTAGAATGTAACTTTTCTTCTTGATTCACAGCAGTTTGTACATTCCTTTTAGCAATTTGCTGTGCAGAAACATTTTGTATCTCACACCTCAAACATATGGAAAGGAGGAGCAGTTTTATAACAGAAAAACTTCCCTGTCCATGCAGAGTCTGGCAGGACGCTTGTAGGTGTATGCAACAATCCAGAGCACATTTTTCGTGCCAGATACCTTTCAYTTGGTGACTCTTTCAAACCACCAATGCTATGCTGGCTACAGTGTTAGTCCCAAAACAAATCTAGGAACTCAGCTCATTGGAAGTTTCAGTCCATGACAACTATTTAATGCAACATCCACACAAGATTTTAATAGAGCCACCAGGACTTACATCACACACCAGGCACATGGGACCCAATCTGCTCAGTCTTTAAATAGGTCCCATCAGTATTCTCTCTCTGGGACARCGTTAGGACTTGCTAATGCAAGTGTTAATAACTTTCTGTATTAATGAGTATCTAGGGAGATGTTCCAYCTTCTCCTCCCCCTTTACATTCTGCCTAAAAACCCCACTATTAATAGCAAGGAGGAACAGTCAAGTGGTTACAAGACAACAGTGGATCAGATTCTTATCATGCACTTTCATCCATTTCCAAAGGCTCACTATTCTTCACAAAGACATTTTAGACATACACAGATCAAAATAATTACTTGAAAAGTTATATTAATAGATTTAATGAAGAGCTATCAGAGAGATYTGAAAGGGTCCTAACAGTCACGATGAGCTGTGGGTTGGCAGGGTTTTATGGAGAGAACAAAATGAGAGGCACACAAGGAACTTCTGGTGCTCTCCAGGCTGCCCACACTGTTGTACAGTGTGCTGAGCTCTGTGGACTTTGCAGGTGGTGTCACACCTTGGGGGAAAGTATGTGGTTTTTCACACTGAAAGTCCTGCCCATTTGTGCAGCAGAACTATTTATGGATCTTTCTCCAACTACAGAGATAGTGCTAGTGGGATTTCTGAGGCCCKATGCAGTGGGATGACACATCCCACTGGATGGAATATAAAAGCTTGTCTAAATTGAAAAACTGGAAGTATTTATGAAGAGAGGGCAAAGACAGTGCACATTGTTTACTGCAGAAATTAGTAAGTGCTTGAGGGAGATAAATGACCATGGATGCTATAAAAGAATAAAAAATTAATAACTACTTTTCACCTGCCAGTGTCACCATACCTATAGAATATCTAGATGCTACTTTCCCAGAAAACTAACKTTTTAATCATATCCTTCAATCCCAGCTGAGCCTGACCCAAACATTGCAATGTCCTCCCCAAACCCCAAATCCACCCTCTGAATCTGGTGTAGCTCAGAGCTCCTTGATGTTCAGATCTTAGCCAAGCCCAGCTCRCATTGCTATCATATGTAGATCAGGAAATTCCACCTGCACTGAGATTGTCAAAAATGTTAGGATTTTGCATAACTCACTGCTAAAAATTAGGCAACACACAYTGCTATGAGGCATTAATGTGGAAAAAGATCCTTAGGTTATCTTGTTTCATTTGCTCTGGAGAGTTGAAAAGTCAGAGCAGTAACTCAGCTGAGATGAACTCATGCATTTCACACAAGTTTTCCCCTTTGCTCTCCCATTCTTTTTTCCAAACTCCAGTTTTTCATTTTTCCCATCCACACATTTTCAGCAACTGGTTACAGAAATATATTACAAGCTGTTATCCCAGGATCCTATGTTATCCTCTCTCACCACGGAGAGCAGTCATTAAGACCAAACACCGATAGCCCCAGGGACTTGCTGAAGGCTTGGACCTTGGTTAAAGGCAGCTGAGAGAAACTGCTGGTCCATTTTCAAGTGCTCAGTGCTGCTAAATAGGAGTTGCTTGATTTAGCAAGGACCCTAGGGATTAGTCCCTTCCAGATGTTCACAGTACACTACATCTCCAAGGGTCCTACAGATATCAGGAGATGGGGATCAAAAGGGAGGGACAGAAGGGGAGATGTCTCTGCTATGTGTGCACATAAGAAGAAGAAAAGCATTGGCTGAGTTCCAGAAATTAAAATCTGGCCCCACTGACGTAGACAGGAGCTTTGCCACCATGGAGACAGAATTTCACCCAATGTGAACAGGATTTTGGGAATACCCTCCCTCCAGACACACTGTGGGAGCTCTTCTGGCTCTGAATAATCACTGGAAACACAAAAAGGGAAATAAAACCCAAACCCAGACAACAATACCATAATGATTAATCATCAGACAAAAAAGAATGYAACAACAATGAAGTGAAAAGTGTTGCAGAAGCGAGTGGAAAGAAGACGGCAAGCTCTTTAGCTCCTGGACCACTGAACTTTGTGAGGAGCAAGGAAGGATTCCCGTGGTGCCAGGTGCAGGAGGCCACCTGAAGGCTGCACTGGAGCCTTGGAGTCTGCAAAGATTCAATAACAGAGGGAGGGAAACGCTGTAGTGCAGATTCAGCCTTGGAGTAGGCTCCCGTCACTAATGCTATATAAAGAGGCCAGAGCCTAGCAACTTCAGCAAAATTCCTAGGAGCAATCAGCGTCATCACTTACAAATTCCCAGGCAGGCTAGTTCACAGAAAGGGCACGCTCAGCAAGCTCTGCCATTGTGTATTTCTGGATATGGGCATTCTGGATATGAGGAACACGATAAACAGACACAATGCCCATAAAGTTCCATCTACCCTGACAGCTGTGACCCAGTTATTTAGCCCATAGTTGCCCTCTGGTTTAGTTAAACATTTGGATTCACACCACAACTGTATTTAAGGCCCTGGGTGCTCCCTTTTCAATGGCTTAAAAGTTCAGGTTGCCTACAGTGCCAGGTTCTACCTTTCAGAGTGTTTGAACCCTCCAAAGTCACAGGAGGCAGCCAGACAGTCAAATTCCCCTAAAGACTGGAATGCAGCCCCTCACTCCCAACCAGAGACCTCTCATTTGCTGCAGCCCAGCTGTAAAAAGGGACCAAAAGGCTTTTCTGGGAACTGCTGCAGAATGCACCACCCTGGATGTGGTGATGACAGCAGGGAAACTTGCACATCCATCACTGACAAATATTCAAGTATTGCACTGCCCTTTAGAGGAGAAATCCAGATGAAGATCCATGCCTGCACATCAATGATGAATGAGTGACAGCAGCTAACCAAGCTTTAAAACAGGTTTCTCTGGGTGATTGTGTGACAACCACAGCATAGGAGGGCGGGCATACATCTGGGTTTGGAAGGTCCCAAGGTGCTTGGAGCTTTCCTCAGGACTTCTTTCCCCACAAAACAACTGGAAAGGCCCATCCCCAGTGACCACTGACAGTATGAGGTTCACAGCCTTCGCAGAACTTGGGTCATCTGCCAGTTTGCTCTCCCTGCTCTCTTCTCCTGCTCTCTCTCATGCAAACAGGGAAAACCCCTGTTCACACTCCTTCCCTAGGCATGGCCAGTCCCTTCAGGTCATGGAGATCTCCTGRTGCTCTGTAGTTTGCTGTCTATGAGCCTGGCTTGGTGTGAGTTCCTTGTCCATGGGCTCTGCTGTCAGCCCTCAAGATTGTCCTGTCTTCAGGTCTATTGTCCAATATTATCAAAGATAAGAGCAAAAATGGTACCAAGGCAAAATCAAACATCTCTGTAGCCCTGCAGTATTCTGCTGGCTCTGAGCAAGCTTTCCACCCAACTAGTTAACTTAGCTGGCAACTGGGAAAATGAATTGAAAATGTGTTTATTCCTTCTGCAGACTCTTGAAACAAGTCTGGAGGAAGAGAGTCCCTGGAGAGTTACTGAGCTCTTGTGCTCCCTGGCAGCTTCAACACAATTATTACCCCTGGTGAGAAGCCACAAGAGCTTCTGGCTCTGACAAGACCCTGGGATGAAAAGCACAGAGTGCCCCTCATRCTGCATTTTGGAGCAGGCTGCTGACTTTTCCCAGGGACTTTTACCTTTTACACATCATATTATTACTTGTCTTCTTTTTCATGCCCAGGCCCATAGCAGTACTTAGAAATCACTGAAAATGTTTTTTTTTTTTTTCCAAAACCTATAGAAACTCCATACACAAACCTATATTTTATCACATTTTTCTACCTCCCTTAAAGTATATCTGATGATTTTCTATAATAGTCTTGTCAATACACCAACTGGCATCAAACAGGTAGGTATYTTCTACTGATCTGCTATTTTACCTAAAAATAAGAATTTTAGACTAGCACAGTCTTCACTCAAAACAGCTGACAACATTCCTTTTAAACTGTCAGAAGCAGAGAACATAATTTTTAGGAACACGGAGACACGCAGGCATTTTGAGAATTACTTATTTTAATGTACCCCTTACACACTGCAAACATAAAATTCTCCTTTTGTTTTTGTACAAATTGGCAGTGCTGTTTCACCGCACTCAGGCATTCAATACAGGAACTCTGACCATCAATGCAGGACAGCAGAACACACGATAATTAAATTTACTTACCCTGTAGATTCCTGCTGGGCTTGAAATAAGGCCATTGCTTCAGTGAAAAGCCCTCAAARGCCACGCACTAGAGACGGGTTTGTGCTTGGGGTTTCTAGACATTTATTTCAGTGCAAATCCTGCCAGAAATCGCAACTTACTGCTTGTTGTGAAGTTCCCCTCGCCAGCCTGAGGGAAGGAGTCCACGTCTTGGATGACTTGTAGCACTCCCACGGTGCGGGCGGGGGGATCCAGGGCCACCGAGCTCTCGTTCACGGTGATGTCGCTGGCTCCCGTGATCTGGTTGGTCGGTGGTCCTCCTATGGATGCTTCCAAGTCTGGAGGTATATCATCCATGCAATCTGCRTTTGGCTAATGGGAAGAGAAAGAAGAAAAAGGATTTATTCTGSCTAATAGAATAATTGTTTCCTGTTGTTCGTGTTTTTCCACTTTATTTCGGTATTGAAAATGGCAACATTTAACAAATAAACACAAAGTTTGTCTTCATGTACTTAAAAATTAATACAATCCGTTGGAAGAGAGTCCCAAAGTATGCAATAGAAATACTGAGTATTGAACTCTGTCTCCTACAGTTGCTAACCATTCTTATTTATACTTTTAAAAAGGATTGGGAGAGTGCATGTTAAAAAAGTAACTTGCTTATTGGTATGAGCTGCTCAACATAGGAGGATTGCTGAGTCAGATCACAAATGTAAACAGAGACAGGAGCTGAAGGGGAATGATTATCTTTTCCTGAAATATACATTTCAGGAGCCAATATCTGAGCTTCCAGGAATAAGAATTCAAGGGAACTGCCTGTGGGTGCATCTCTGTGTGCAGTGCAAAAATAGAAGCTAAAGCTGTTTATAAGACAAGTTTCTAAACATCAAAAGATCATTTCCTTTGCTAATACTATATTTCCTACAAAATACAATTATGAGAAAAGAAACAAACAGACAATAATGGGAAATTGAAGAGCATTATTCAATTCATAGTCTTCCTTGCTATGTGAAGCAAGTCCAGTGACAGAGGGACATAGCAAGACTGAGCAGCAGTGTGCACACACCTTGTTAAGCTAGGAAATGTTAATTTAATTTGTTTCCACTTATCTTTATTCTCCAGGAACCAGACAGCTAGTCTGGATCAGTCACTTCAGCTTCCTCTAACTTCAGTGGTTTGAGACAGTTTTGCTGTGTGATTCATCCCCTACCCCAGGGTACGAACTGCTCCCTCTGCCTTCCCTCTGCTCAGCACCAAGCAGAGACAGAGCTTAAGCTGCCAGACTGGAAATCCATCATCCAGATGGGAATGTCAGAAGAGCTGTGCTCTGTTTGGTGGATCTGTTTTTTTTTCCTGTGCTTAGTTGTCTCACAAACCAAGGCACTTTGGAAAAATCTCGCTACCTGCCTATCTCCAACAGCACACACCAAGAAAATAAGCAAAATATGATACAGCAAAAGCTTAAAGAGAGATTTAACTTTAAGCACAAGAGAAATCCTCTTGAATTCAGGCACAGAAGGTTACCATATGTTTACTTCTATTTTTTTTTTTCAGAATCAGGAACTTAGCATGTTTTCTCTTTTCCCACACATTCCCTGTCTGATTGTTGTCACCTCCTAACTATTTTTTTCGACAAATCTTCCTAATGAAAAAGACAGGCAATTTAAGCAGTCTTGTATCCACCATCTGAAGGTTGGAATGAAAACTAGAATTGTAGTTGTCTGGCTCCAGTCTAATCCACAAGCAGCAAGAATGCCTCAGAATTGGGATCAAAAAGGCACATTCAGCTAYACCAGTTGTTAATGAAACTCATTGAGTCTGTACTTCTCCAAGTGAAGTATCAATCAATTATCTGTAGAACAGGGATCCAAAATTGTCTATTAGATCTATCACWCTTTTCTTTACTCTTAGCTACCATAAAACAATATTTTCAAAATCTGATTTTTAATTTAATTTGCCTTTGATGGCAGTATATATTAAAAAAAGGCCTATTTCTTCTTTTCTCCTATAGGAAAAACAATTTCAATTTCTCAGGGGATCAGTTGTCTGCCCTTTGCTCTGATACCAGTTACTCCTAGAATGGGGCTTTATCACAAATCTTTAAACCTTTTTAAAAGGGGATTATAATTGAAAGCCAAACCAAACATTAAAGATGCAAAAAAATAGTATTGCTTGATATAATTAATCCCTTTACTCCTGAATCATTTTAGTTGGAAAAAAATGCCCCAAACTAAGCAGCATGCTATAAAACTAATGATCAGAAAAAAAAAAAAAACCAACACAAAGCCATTATGGCTTTGGCTGCCAGAGTGACCCAAATACATTTGCTAAGTTTAATTATATTGGTTTCACTCATCCCTTGCATGCAAGTGCTTTGAGAGCACAATTCCACTGAAGTCAAGGGAAGGCTTTGTATTGACTTCTGAGGGCTTGGCTAAGGCTCTTAGTGAACAGCTTCAGGTCATGAGATCTGCTGCCAAAAGTGCAGCTGACTGCACATCCAGCAGATGTTTGCAGAAAAGGGGGAGAAGCAGAGGGAAACTATTTCACATGATGTGATTGTCTGTCCCAATAGCAACGGAGCTCTTAGAAAGGCATTTTCACTGGCAATCCACTTCAAATAGTGCAGGTAGAGCCTGAGTTGGATTTGCCAGCAAAGAGACAGTGGAAAAGGTTAGGCCAAGCATTGCTGACAGAGAGTTAATAATCCTCTGGAGCTGCAGAGTGCATGAAAAAAAAGTAAAGGTGTTGGGGTGCTCAGCAACCATGAAAATGAGTCCAGGAGTTTTGGTGCCTCACAGCTGCCTGGGCAATCTGAACTTAGGGGACATAATATTTGAAGTCTCTATCACAAAGTAAATGGAGAATTTAGTTGTGAATGGAGTTGAACAATTTAGATATTTGGGGTTTAACCAATACTTTCCTGGAAAATCCCAAGTCTTCCTGCTAAAAGGAGTACATGGGCATGCAGGCCAGCTCTTTAATAGCAGCCATAGGACAAACATGGAGCTGGCAGRGACAAACCCCATAGCCTGTCTCTGGTAAGATTTACACATTCCTGCTATTGTAAAAGCCTGCAAAAGGGTTTTGGCAAATTTGCACTCAAGTYTCCCTTCAGAAGCTGATGTTTGCCTAAGGCTTTTTTCTTTTTTTGTGTGCAGGAATTTCAGCTAAGAGGGCTCAGTAAGACTCCAAAATGTGGTTATGGAACAAAATTTTGCTTTATCCACTCTCCAGAAATTTTTGCCACTTCTCATTGAGGACTCCTAGAGCTTTATGGGYTCTTTGAGGGCGACATCTTTTCCCACAGCAGCCTATGGACATCTGGCTAAGTGATSAGTCTCTGAAAACACCAGTTCATGTGTGCTGGTGCCTTWTTTGGCTCATGGGAGCACCAGAAARCACCCCTCAGGAATGATGTCCATCTCAGGCTGCCCTCAGCTGGTGCTGGGCAGCAAGAAGGGTGAGAACAACACAAATTCTGTGCAGGTGGAACACAGGTCCTGTGAGCTGAACAGGAGCTCCAAAGGACAGAGGTTGGGGAGGAGGGGTTATGCAGAGGAGAAGGAATGGGCATAAGGCAGGAAAGGGATAAGCAGGAGCTGAGGGGTATTTTGGAAAGAGAAGGCAGAAAAAAGAGAGGACGAGAAGCAACTGATAGCATTATAGGGATTTTTAACACTCATGATACCAGATGCTCTTAGATTCCACTTCCTTTACTGTCAGCCAGAGGAAACCTGACACAAAGGCCACCATCTACACCAATTTCCCATGGGCAGCAGCTCCTACTTCAAGTCACTTTGAGGGACACCTCAGTGTAGGCCTCCAGAAAGCATTGGTCTGATTTGCCTATACTCCCCAATTATGAAGCTGGATAAAGAACACGTTAATGAAATGCTTGAACAAAAATGTGAATGGGCCAATGTGAGAGCAGAAATGGTGTGGGGCTTGCAGGTGCACAAGGAGCCATGGAATAATACACTGGGCAGGGRGCAGAGGTGTCAGAAGCACAAGGAAGAGAACTGAGCCACAGAACCAGGAGAAAATTTCTGTATTTAAACCCTGTATTTAATATTTCTGTATTTAAAGGTGCAGAGATGCGGAAAGGCAGAGCTAACTTTCATTCTGGCCTTTCACCTCAAACACTGATTTAACGTTGAAACACCTCTCAATAGTCTAAAGACAACATACAGGTTTAGCAGAAAAAGTAGCCAAACTGTGACAACACGTTGCCCTAGCTATAATGTCCTAATTCTTTTTCCCCTCTGCAAGTTTTTTATTTGGATTATACTGGGTTGATTAACAAACCTGCCTGAAACCTGCTTCCCAGTCTCCACGAAACAGAGCTCTCTGGAAATGGCTGTATCTGCTCCCCAAAATGCTCATGTGAGCTGTTTGACTTTATAAAGCTCTTTCAAACTGCAGCAACCCCAACTGAAACTTGGGGGGGCATTTACAGCACCAGTTAATCCATCAGCTGGAGGTGCTCCAGCACAGAGCTTCACGAGCCTCACACAGAGGGGGACAGTGACTCTCTCCTTCTTGGTGAAGCCCTTGAGCTTTGTGACTGCTCCAGCTGGGAAATTGCATGGCAGACAGGACATGCACTGTCTGAATGCAAACATGGGTCTTAGAGAGATCAATTTCTTTGGCAGTTTCTGACCACATCGGAATGTTCCAAATAACACGGAGCCTAACAATTCTTGTACGTCATGTGCTCCACCACATGCTCAGTAACTGGGAGAAGTGGCCTTTAACTGGAATTAGGAGTACAGATCTTACTCCAAATAGACTTTAAGAGAAATCTGATAGAAAAAGGACTCAGTTCCCCAGAATGAGCAATTAGTTGTCCTCAACGAGAAGAGCAGAGAAAATTTTATTTGCAGATCTTTTGCTTTCAGATTTGAACTGAGTACATAATTAAAAAAATAAGTCCAGTCCTGATTTAAAACACTGAAAAAAACACATAGTGAAAGCTATGAATTTAAAACACATAGTGAAAGCTATGTGCAAGATTCTATAAATCCACCAAAACACCAGTGAACCACCTTCTGCTTCATCAAACAGGCAACCACGGATACACAATTCCCAGCACCCAACCAGCCCCRCCACACACTCTTCCCTGCTAACAGGAGTGGGGTGCAGGAGCAAGGTAGAGCCAGACATTTCTGACTGTACTTCCCTTAATAAATCAATTAATTATTCAGTAACACAGCAAAAAGAGTAAGATGGGAACAGACAGGGAAAGGCTAGGGATACACCCAGGTGGCTGGTGTTTCCCTTCTGCCCCGATTTTTTTTTTTTTTTTTGCTCTGCAAAGTGCTTACCGGAATCCCTAGAGCTTTTAGAATATTCATTTTACACATCGGGCAGGTACGATGGTCTAGCAGCCAGGGGTCTACGCAGGACTTGTGGAAAAGATGCCTGCAAATGAAAAGCAGGATATCTTAATTCAATTGCACCACAGCACAGTTTACCACTTACAGAKGATTCTGAATTCAGCTCAGTGAGCGTATTTCAACGTTTGAGACCTCTGCAAGGAGTGCAAAACGAGGTCCTATGCACAGGAGGGTGAAATGATTCCTGAAACAAGTCAAGCACATGTGCACATTTCAGTGTGTTTGGAACAGATGATGTACATAATTAGAGAATTAGGGAAAATATTAAAAATGCATTAGCAAACCCCATACTCTTTAAATGTTAAAGGCAAAGGTTGTCAATAAACAAAAGCTGCTTGCTGGAAAAGGTTAAAATCATGTTAGTTTTCTTAATGGTTCTAYACATGGCCTCAGACAAGCCTGATCACATAATTTAAAAGCGAAGCCATTGAGGGTGTAGTATTTTTCAGGATAAAAGCATAAAGAAAAAAAAAAAGATACTTTTCATTGTAACAGAAAAACTTTTTTAAACAGAATGCTTTTTAAAATATTCTCCCTGACTTTCCTGCTCTTTAGAAGCTGCCCATCAGAGAGAGCTCCTACACAGTTACCTGAAGGAATTGTTGCTAATCCTGTTCTGAGTCTGAAGCAATGACCTGATCCCTGTAGCTGCTGGGCACTGTTTTTCCTAGACATTATTCAGGGGGAGAAACTGGRAGTTTTTCATTGAGCTTTGCCTGACACAAACTGATAATGACTGTAGAGATCTTTAGTGTGTGTACCTGACTGAGAGACTGCACTCTCTCTTGAGAATAGGAACTTTAGGAAACATTTCTTCACCCAAAGGGTGTCAGGCATTGGAACAGCTCTGCCTGGAGTGTGGCAGACACCAGGCTCTGCACGGAAATGCAATCTCTGAGAAAGCCAGAATCACTCAACGTACCAAAGTAACTCTAAATATTTAACTGCTGATATTCAGCTGAATGTGTCAGCAGACATATTGTGTCACTCCATGGCAAATTATTGCATTCCTGTGCTTTGTATCACTTCACACAGCTACGGGAAAGGGCAAGCCTGTTCTGGGAAATTCTATCCAGTCTATACCGGTGGGCTGGGGTATCAAACTCTGTCMAACCTCATTTGATCCTGTATGCCAACGTGATTAATGAAATGAAACATTGTGATATTYGAAGTGTAAGCCACTATTTCAGTGAGGATGATGAGGTTCACAGCTGTCCTTCCAAACAAGACCTGACCTAATGGATAACAACAAATGCACCAGGTTTTGKTCTCTGTCCTGCTGAACATTTCCTTCCTTCTGTCTTAGGAGGGGCACACTCAGCACACATCAGACAAGCATTCAGAACAGGTGAAAGCATAAACATGGTTCTTGGGTRTGTGTAATTTTACATTTTAGAGTCTAACCAACAGAGTTTCTTGGGTTTGTAAATCCATGCAGGGTACTGAAAATCTATATATTGTCTTTCAGCTATTTGAAATAGTGATGGATTTCTTGCTAGCAATTGGTTTTCTTTCATTATATAATCAAATTCATAAACAAATATGCTTATTGGCAAACATCTGAAACATGTTTGTGGCAAAATAATCAGTCCTTTGCAAAATCTGAGATATTTATTATTCTCCCAGAAAACAAAACAGATTTCCAAAATCTGTTTTGGATAAAAAATGCATAAYTTCCACCGAGACACTTTACCATAGACCAAAAAAATACCCTTTTATTTTTGATTTCCAGCTTTGAAAGCCTCAGTCAAACTAGGGCTCATATTAGCCGATTTCATTGTTTGTTCATCATTAAAAGTTCAGAACACTTTCATGCCTTACATACTTTAAAATCTGAAGTTCAGAGTTCCTAAAGCTGGCTTCAAAAACAATATTCTAAAATAAATGCTAACAATGCCAAGTAATTTAAATACATGACAGATCTTGTCACTTTGCACTTCTCAATACTAATTTAGCACAGTGTATTATGACCCCATTAATTTCAGATTTAATATGTACTACAGAAAGAACTTGATTATTTGACAGAAATCCGCAGAATAATAGAATGCTACTAAAAACCAGATAAAAGAGTTGACTTTTGAGATTTTTGTACTGCATGATGCAATTAGAGCTCTTGTCTGTTCTGAACACATAAACATTTGTGCAGAGAAGCAAGGTGGCAGGCTTTGCAGATTTGAACTTGAAAGTTTATTAGGTATAGCTCTATGTACATGCTTATGGCTTTCARCAAATTGTCAATTGTTTCATGTTCCAAATTCACACAAAATAGAGGTCAGCACAAAGTAAGATGAGAGAGCAACTGCAATATTTCACTATCACATGGTAAGACAAAGAGGTAAAAAGATCAGCTGCAACAAAAATCCCTCCCTTTGCAGCTCTGATGCAAGTTTTAAATGGAAGGAGAGGACAGAGGCATGGATGAGTTCAGAAGTAATGATCCATACAAGGAGACAGYAAGAGATGTTTCAAGAACAGGCTCAGGACATGGCTTTGACAATCAAAGCCAAAGCTAGAAAAAAATACAGTTTTTTTCCCCTGCTGTGTGCAACCACATTCATTACAAAACTATGTTGATTTGGGTAAGTTGAAAAGTTTCTCAAAAGAACTGCAACTGATTAGTTGACACAGAGGAAGAGGAGATGTTGYAACAACCTCATACAAAAAGGCTTTCATAAGGGAAAGGAAACAACTGTTCTCCACCTCTCCCGGCATGAGAGGCACAATGATGTTATTGAAAATTCAGGAATGGAGACCCAGGTTACACAATAAGAAAGGCTTCTGCACAGTCAAGGTAATGAAGCACTGGGATAAATTATCAGGGGAATTTGCAGCCTCCATCCCGGGAGATTGCAGAGTRTGTTGGAAAGAGCTGCCAAGAACAACACGTGCGTGCCTCTGCCCCTGTGCTGTTCYAGAGGTGGTGGCCTCCTGGGAGCCCTCCTGCACTCTCCTGTGGCTGCACGTGGCTGTGCAAAGCTCACAGAGCACAAAGGAAAAGAGCCCCAAAGTCCCAGAGCATTCCATTTACCATTATCTAAATGGTACTTCACGTTTTTGAACTGCTTTTATTGAAATGTATTTACTTCTCCTTTAAAGCTGCAGTTCTAATCAAAGAAGAAAAAAAATTGTGCCCAGCCCAAAATAYTCATACTAATAATACTAATGATACTACTAATAATAATGATTGTAGTGCAACTATTSTAAAGCTTTCAGCTTGCCTACACTTTTGAGAAGCATTTTTTCCAGATAAAGGGAAACTGTTCTCCTCCCACCTTCCACTCCTAGCCTCAACTATGCAGAAAGAGAGGTACATCTCTCAGGACCCTGAATAARAACAATATTTCTGGATTCAATATTTTCCTGGATTAGATAAAGGGCTGAAGTAGAGGATTAATGATTTTTGTGAGAGACTGAGCAGCACTGGAGGATCCAACAAGAAGGTTTAAGATTTTAGGGGGTGCATGTACAATACTATTTACTTCTGAGAAGGACAAAAGAAGATGATGATGGGGGTGAGAGGAAGGAAACAAAGGGTAGAATGTGTGTGATGAAATAATTTTTGCAGGAAGATAATAAAAAGAGAAAGCAGGAGGGAAAAAGTCTCTGAAATCACAGTTGTTCATGGAATGAAGATTTGGGGGAGAAGAATGAGCTGGAACAAGGTCAGAGAATGTGTTTATTGGTGACAGAAATGAAACAGCTAAAAAAAGAACTCATGAGGCACTCTGCAGAGATAACGTTGAAATAAATGTCTTGCCTCTCTGTAGAASTTTAGTGAAGTTAGTAAAAGTTTAGTAAAAGGCACGCACTGGGAGCAGCAGCACCAGTAGCTCCTCCAACACTAGAGCAGAAAGACAATGGAGTTTTGAAGTTGCAGATGGGGGACAAACAGGATTAAGCAGGGCTGTGATGAGAGATGTCACTGTGGGAACAATGAACTTGGTTCCATCTGATCYTGTGTCAGTGCCCTCAAAGACAACTTCAGAGATGTCTGCTGCCATTAAACACAAAACCAGCTGCAAGTCAACGTTTTTTATTTTTACCAAGTGTCATTCCTTATTTATTTAATACACTCTGTAGGGTGAAGTTTATTAATACAGTCATTTGTGGGAGCTGCCTCACAAGGACAGAGAGGAAGAAGCACAARTTCACTGGAATTCTCCTCTGAGTTTTCCAGAGTGGGGCATATGAAAACAGGCTATCCCAGTGCCAGCAGAAAAGAGAAGATGTTTGGGAAACAGCCCAAATCCTAGTAAACATGTCTCATTTGACTTCAGAGCTCATCCAGTGCTGCACTGGTTGTTTAATGAAGTTCCCGTGTTAGAAACTGCATGTGGCTTAACCGAGGATGCCGGAGCAGGAAAACTCCAGAGTCTGTAGGTCTTTATCAGGATCTAACACACTCCTACTCACTTCACAGAAACAGAAATTAATCTACTTTTTCTTTCTCTTATTTGTTTTGGATGAGGAGATGAGACTGACAACAGCAGAAAGAATCATGAGTACCATTTCATGTTTCAGAAGTTCAAACCCATGCGAGTGTGTAAAACACTGCCCTCACAGTTTGTGCAGCAGCAAAACCAGGGTTGGTGAAGTAGCTGCTTGAGAAAGATCTTTGAGTTTTTATAATTCCAGACTGCTGAGACTCAGGCTGTGGGTATTTTATGAGACAGTTCTGCTACTGCTACCCTTTTAGCATGAGTCATTTTCTGGGTGACCTTTTAAGCCAGCCAAGAACTGAACACCACCTGTTAACTCTGTGTTTCCTACTCACACTGCTTGACTCAATGCTGTGGATGACAAAGGCTCACTGARTTATGAGGTGACACACAAGTGAAAGCTAAAGCTTAGACATATATTTAAACTGTTGTTGATCTACCTCCAAACACTGYCTGTGTCTATCATGCAAAATTTCCAAGCTTTATTCTGCTTCTATACAAACAGGCTTGATGCCAAGCCAAGGTCCACATTTTCTGGTAATTTTGCATTTTTCTGTATTTCTGCTTTATGAAGTGATGTGTTTGTGTCTGCTTGCAGGAAAAAAAAAAAAGAGTTCACATGCAATTTGTCATTGTGGGGGATTTACAGTAGGTCAAATTTATGATTAATCTGTTGCTTTGTCTCAGCCACTTAGTGATGGTAGTAAACAGATTTAATGAGTCGCATGAACTAACAGAAGTGGACAGCATGTAACACTCAAACATCTACGGGAGTACAACATGGCAGGGAAATAAACAAGTATTTTGGTTTCTCAAGCCATAACTCAGGAGAAGAAAGAAATTCTACTGAATAAAATGAAATCTCTGCCCTGTGTGTGCAGCACTTGAGATCTGTATTTCCAGGGAAATCAAACACTTGCTGTTGCTCTCCTAGGGGAGCCACTGATCCTAGCAAATTTCCTAAGAAATTGATTTCTTTASAGAAATCCTCCATTAGGCAACACTTCACAGATGACAAAAAAACAGCACAAAGATGATACAGCTGTAAAGGGTGACAAGAGGCTTCACTCCTGTGTTGCATCACTGCAGCATGGGGCATCTTCACATGAGGCATTCTTTACTCAGCAAATCTCTTTCTATGGCTGGGTTGTTTTGTTTTTTTTTTACAGAAGTCATCCCTGTCTCAGGTGTAGGACAGCAGAAGTTGCTCCATGGGGAGCAGGAGCCTGCTCTATCCCTGGCTGCTGTGGCAAGGGCTCACCTGCAAGTCAGAGGCAAATTGTCCTAAGGCATTTATTCTGCACTGATATAAAAAAAAAACAAAACAGTGAGGAAAACAGATGAATCAAAACCTTTAGTTTAAAAATCTTACTGAAGACTTTGTTAAAGACCCAGATCAGACAAAATTTCTGACTGTCATACTAAACCCTCAGGGTCTTACCACCATTAACACTAGTTTCACTTCACGTTGAATAAAGAGGAATTTGAGATAGCTTTACCAACAGATTTTGAATAGGTCAAAATAAGAAACTCACCTTTCCCCCCCCAAGTTCTCAGGTAACTTCATCAGCATGAAACTGTGAGAGCARAGCCTGTCTTGAAGTAGAGATTATTAGAGCTAAAAGCACCTTTAACTTACCTGCAAGGCAATATCCTGACAACATCATTGGGCTTGTAGCCTTCGATGCAGACAGCACAGTTATCATAGTCTGGCTCAGTCTCCTACAGGGGAGAGAACATTCATCATTTTCATTTTTTTTGTTAGCTAATCTCTTCACATAAGAGCCTATGTGACAAAGTAAAGCAGTCACTGTAGCAGATTGCAAATCCAGTAATGCATTTCAAGACSAGCAAGTCAGTTTTTCCAACGTGTTTCCATCTGGAAACTTGCATTGGGMAGCATGCAGATTTAGTTAGCACGTTTTAACTTTCAGAATTTTCTGCATCTTTAACCAAATCACCCTCTCTCCCTGCTCCATTCCATCTGTAACTTGTTCACCAGCATTCCTCCCCCACCTGAAGGACACAGTAGCTAAACAAGCAATAGCCCCTTCTGCTCTGCCTCCTTGTCCCAGAGGTCTGAAGGAACCCCCAGCACAGAGTTTCATTTAGTAACAAGCATTTTGAAGAATTACCTTGTCMCCTTTCCTGATTGTCCTGACTTGCAGCTTGCTGATTGCTTTCTTTGCAGCATCTCCGAGCCGGCGCTGCAACACAAAATTCACTCTTCAGCAAAGAGCATCTCTTCAGGCAGAAATCAAAACTTTAGGCAGAAATCAAAACTTTTTCTCCCCAGGCTTCTTAATAACTTCCAGTACATGGAACAGGGTAGTGTATAAATATAAACATAATAATTCATAATAAGGGCACAGTAGGTGCTCTACACTATGGGAGTGAGTACCAGTGTTGGCAACAAGTCCACTATTTGGGTATYCTACTTCTTCCCTCTCCTTTTTAAATGATGCTTGTTAAAAAAAAAAATACTGTGCAGTTAGCAGAGAGAACAATGAACTTTATTCTGACGTTTCCATAACTAGTTCATGATCTTCAGCAGGATGCAAGTTCTGAAAGTGAGCTGTTAATTTGTTAACCACAAAAAGTGTGAATAAGCTCTCCTGTCCTTTCTCCTGCAACACAGTGTTGCCTACTCTATMACAATGAGGTGGCAGCATCTGAAGTTCCTTACAGGTAAAGCACTACATAGTCCCACAGTAACATTCTGTCCATACATAACCATTCACTCATTCTTTGCCTTTCCATCTTTCCCTCCAGTGGACCATAAAGCGATTACCACGTGACGTTTCTGACTGTTCTCCCATATTTCCAAAACACTGTTCCTGCGCTGGCAGGGTCACCACCACTCAGGATTAAAGCGTGTAACACCAGGCTGACACAAAACATCGTGTCCTCAGTAGGCAGACGGACAGTCCTGCCCTTGCAGGAGTTGGGAGCACTGYGGGATGTTCACACAATYRCTGCTCAGCTCCCTGAGCCACGGAGCTTGCTCTGGGATCAGCCCAAGGACTTGGCTGCTCACTTGTGCTCAGGCGGTCTGGGGACAGACTCACAGGCTGGAAAAGTCTTTGSGAGGTCATGTACTCCCACCCCTGCTCAAGGCTGGGTCAACTTCAAAGCCAGAGYTGTGTTAGTCAAGTTTTGAATATCTCCAGGAAAGGAGATTTCACAACCTCTGTGGATAATTTGTTCCAGCGCTTAACCGATCTCAGTTCTTTTTTTTTTTTTCTCTAAACATACTAATGGAATTTCCCTTGCTGGTAATTTGTGACCATTACCCTGTGCACTTCCAGGAARAGGATGATTCTGACTCCTTTTTGCAGCTGGAAGCAGAGCCTTTCCTCCTCCCCCGCTCCCCACCCAGCTTAGCAAGCTGAGCTCCCTTCATCCTTCCTCACATGCCAGACCACACTGCTGACCTTCCTCTGGGCACTCCCCATTTTTCCCATGCCCCTCTCACATGGTTTCATGCAGCAATACCCACTCCAATGTCTCCTTGTCAGCTTTAGAATCGTTCATGGTACAGCACCACCAATAAATGACTTCTTCCCTTCACCTCCTCTGCAATTTCATGTTTCCAGCCGTGTGTTGTTAGATAGGAGAGAGACTTAGGGCCTTTGGTGACTCAGAAGACATTCAACTTCCTGGGMTGGGAAACTCCTGTGCCAGAGTTCAGAGGATCCTGTCAGCAGGAAGTGTTTCCAGCTGGACAGGGTGAAAGCAGGAAGCCAAAAATGGAAGAAAGCTTGAAGAAGTTCATAAGTTGAGAACTAATCACCAAATAGATATGACCAGTAAATTACCACTTGAGTCTTCAGATTCAATTAAAATCACTGGATTAAATTTAGAGAGTAAGCTTATTGGATTGGAAAGGCTGACAAAAGACAWGCAATACTGAAGGCAGAGAGCAATTTCAAATCTGGCTAAAGAAGAGAAAACAATCTTGGCTCTCATAGGAGATTTACATATGAGCTTTCCACCATAACTTAATTATTGCATATGAAGGAGAATCTTGTAGTTATAYAACATCTCTTTCTGTGGTCCATTTTTCTCACAGTCTCCCTTAAATAAAATAATCAAATGAGAGCTGAAAACATTTCTTGTAGCTATTTGGTTCTTTAATGTAAATCAAAGACAGACTGATAACAGACAGCAAGACAAGATCCATTATGTTCTGCTTCAGAAATTGCTTGTGATCCCTTTTTTTCATTATCATTACTTAAATGAATGAAATGTCTCAGTTCCWTTTTTGCACGCTCTTGAAGGGGAAAGGACAAGATTAAAAACTCATGCACATCTTTGATCTGCTTGCTTTCATGTTTGCTCTCTCTTATCTATCATAAATAGGTAAGTTCATAACTTACATGCAAATGAGAGTAATTTAGTTCTTGAAAGAACAGGAATTTCTTGGACTAGTCATACTTTCAAAGGGCTCTCCCATTTGAATGGAAGGCATGMTATCAATAACCAATGATTTCTCCTAAAAGGTAAGAGGCATTACAACAGTTTAAGGGTTTAAAGTGAGGCTTAGAGATTTACAGTCATAAATCTTATAATCTCATTAGCAAGGCTGCAACACTCWGAGCTGGACTGGAAGGAGTTAAGCATATCAGAAGCAGTGGTCTTGAGGAGATGGTGATGCTCATTAGAGAGGAAGGACAGTCACATGGAAAGCACCATTTRGGTGTTCCTGAGAAAGTAAATGACCCTAAATGTTGTGGAAGAGAAGTTACAGTAAGTGACTCTCCCTTAATGGCCTCACTAAACTCTCACCTTTGCAGTGAGATCACCTTGTGCCTTTGCAGAATGAGTCCCATCACCAGGATGAGGTATCGGTCACATCTATCCACAGTTTGCAGACTCCATCACGGGAAACACCTTCCCAAACTGCTTCAAAGATTGACACCTCTGTTTCAGCAGCCCCAAAACTCTCACTGCAAGCCACAGCCACCAGTCTTCCTCCTCAGATAATTGCTCCACATGCTGACAGTCACATACTAAAGATTAACCCAGGACACACAAAATCCTTTTCAACTCCACCTCCTGTGGCTTTCATTATCCTGCAAAACTTATGGAGCCCAACCAGCTTCAAAATGACTTTTTAGAAACCTTCCTCTGAACAAGAAGCCAATGGAAAGACATRACACAGAAGAAATGTGGTGAACAARTCTGGCATTGAAACATCACCCCCTCATCATTTTCCCATCTCACAAACAATAAAAAGAGAACTCTGCTATTACTGGTGAAATATGAAATCTGACACWCTGACAGGGTTGGAGGTTTTTGTTGTCGTCGTTATTTTAAGTCTGTGTCCTAGCTGTTACATGGCTTTGACATCAGGTCACATTTTGCTGAATTATCTCTRGAACTTAACTTGTCACGTAATTCCAAACTGCTTGTAATTAGCWCTGCAATGTGATGTTTCTTGATGCAAACAATTCCCACAGTCTTTTACAAACTCTCYCGTCTTCAGGAGCACTCCAGGAACAAGCTGCTGAGGAAGCAGATTTTCTTACACAAATTTATCCTCTTCATATGAAAAGGATTTTTCTTCAGGGCAACCACCTACTTCCTGGACATCTTGTTAGGTGGGAAAAAAAAAAGTTTCATTCATGTGAATATTACTACCTATCTTCTACTTCCATTTGTACTATACAGCTGTCTGTGCTAGAGGTACTCTTGAAAATTAAATGTATTACAATAAAAATTGATACCTCACCATGTTTGTAGCTTACACTCTGGCTTTAGATGCACAAGCCCAGAGTGGAAGACAATTTTGCACTCTACTGCATTAATTCCCAGCCCTGGCATTCCACAAGAATCCTTGAAATCCTGATTCTCCACTCATCAAAATGAGGCACCCAACTGGAGTAAGCTGTGCCTTCCTTCTGGCACGTGAACTTGGATTTTGCACATATGGTGAGGAAGAGAGATGGCTGAAGATATAGTTAGACTATGTCCAGTTTTCATCTCCCTGTGGAGTCAAAGGAAATGATCCCAGGAGATTTTTCAGTCTTGCTAGCTGCCTCTCAATAGCTGGATTCATTGCTTTCTTGATAGAGAACTAAAGCAGTTCCTTTTGGATTTATTGCCTGCTCAGAAACTTAGTCCTAGTGAAAGAAGGGAAGTGGACCTGGAAAGGAGAGTCACCATACAGAGAAGGACTAGACAAAAGTGTTGGTGAGGCTTGACAAAAGGACATTATGATATTAACCTGAAATTTGAGATCCCATCCTTGTGCTACAAGAAAATGTGTCAAAGGAAAAAAAAACCCAAAACTTCATGAAAAGCAGAGAGTAACACTCATGGGAAGGGTAAGAACAAAGTGAGCTCTTCTGAACTACCGAGATCATTATAATCTGTAGCCAAAAGAAACAAAACAAAAACCCACAGCAACCCATTAACACAAATCACTGAGTTTTGTCTGTATATTCCATTTTTCATATGGAAAGGGCTAATAAAGAGAGTAAATATCAGACAAAACTGTATGAAGAAAAGTGAATGAAGACTTTCTAGTTTGCCCTTCATTATTCACAATTTTGGCCCAAAAAATTAAAAATATGTGATTACTTAGGAGATATACTTTCATATCCTTCTGAAGARCAGAACTTGTATAAAAACCAAGTGATTAAAACCTCTCCATAGGACAACTGCTTGTGCACATGTAGGCTCATTCAAACTTYGGAAAGAAAATACTGAAAAGGAAATTTGTTTGAACACATAAACACATCAGTTTCAAAGTGTAACGTATTACCTGAATGAGTTTGTCATTTTGCTGAGTTTCGTGTTTATATATGTCTATTTACACTGCTAATCTGCCTGTATAATTACTTGATTGAAAGCACACTTATTCACACAAATTAGGCACGCATGTGCTTTTGCAGACAAAGCATCCAAAAATTATCACAGCCGTTGCAGTCACAGCGAATCTGCTGCCAATGATGTTCAAATTCCAGCTGGGATAGTCTCATTCTTGCTAWCCAAAATTTCAGACTGTATATTTAAAGGGAAAATATATTCTTTCTGTCTGTAAATACAGAGCAGCTGCTCTCRATCTCAGAGGATGCCTGAATTTCAGTGGGGGAGGGTGAGGGATTCCTGCACATCAAGTATTTGTTACAGAGTGTGTGGTAGTGCTTTTCTCTACAAGACGATTATTAATACTCTCAGTTTTACCTTTTCTGCAGAATAAGCAAGGCAGGCCTCCTGGCCCTGACAGTAATTTATTGAGGGTTCAGAAACCTCCCTGAATTACAGTGCATTTTTTTCCCTGCAGTAAAATGGTTATCTCCTCAGATTTCATGCATTGATAACATTTTCTACCATTAGAATGAAATGTAGAAGCCTCAGTTCCCCAGTGCTGCTGAGATAGGTGCATCCAGACAAGAAAATATTAAATTTATTATTATTGTTATTATTATTCACTGCTGMACTACCATAAAGATGGACAGTGGTTTATAGCTCCAGAGGGACCCTGGGCTCATTCCCACAGCTCCTGACTTCTCTCCAGCTCCATAAGCTTTGTAACTCTTGCAAGGGTTTGGACAAGATGCCAAACACAACAGCATTGGTTTAAAAACATTGGTGGCTGTCACTACAGTCCTGTTCACTGATTGTTGTCAAAAGAAGAGRGACATGCTTGTCTTTCAAGCCCAAGACCCTTCCAAGGGAGCATTAAAATAAAAACACATTCTGGTTTTTTTTTTTTCTTCACTTATGAACCATTGCTTCATACACAGACACTCACATACTTTGTGGTGTTTCAGCCAGCATTTTGTTCTCCAGGGTCCTTAATTATATACGTTGCTATGACACTTGGCTATATGTACCAAAACAATCTWTTCACAAATAAACATCTATTTTTTGTGTGTTTTGCATGGAGAAAAAAAACCCCTAATATATACATACACTATTAATTTTTTTTTTCTGAATCCCATCTATATCGACTTTTCCCAGGCACAGTCATTTTTATATTCTTATTCTTTTCACTTTCTTGTGTTTTGTTTTGGTTTAATGCTTTTACCACACATTGAAAATTTTTTAAACTTTCCCTTCTACATTAAATCCTGCTGTAAATTTTTGGAAATACAAACACTTACTCCAGCTCTGCTCACCTGATTTCTGTCTCTGGCATTGGCATAGCGAAATCTCTGGATGTAGTAGAAGACCAGCCAGGCCAGGGAGATGATCATCAGCACGATGAAGGAGATGGAGACGAACACCACCGAGGTGCGGCTGACGTACTTCTGCAGGTTGCGTGTCCCGATGGTTATGTACATCATCACAGTAATGTTCCTCTCCAGGAGGCTCACTATCTCTTTTCCTTTGGGTTCAGGAATCATTATTGCTACAACATCTTCTAAGCCTAGCAGACAGAGAGACAAAAGGAACCTTAAGTGAAACAAGTGATMACCAAGAGGCAWCCATAGAATCACAGAATATCCTGAGCTGGAAGGGACTCACAAGGATCACTGAAGWCCACCTCCTGGCCCTGCACAGGACCATCCCAAAAATCCCACTGTGTGCCTCAGAGCTTTATCCAAATGCTTCTTGAAGTCTGTCAGGATTGGTGCTGTGACCACTGCCCTGGGGAGCTGTTCCAGTGTCCAACCACCCTTTGGGTGAAGAATCTTTTCTTAATATCAAGCCTAAATCTCCCCTGACCCAACTTAATGTCATTTCCTCGAGTCCTGTCACTGCTCAGGAGAGTGCAGAGATCAGTGCCTGTCCCTCTTTTCCCCTGGTGAGGATGTTGAAGGCCACACTGAGCTCTCCCCTCAGTCTCCTCTTTTCCAGGCTGAACAGACCCAGTGCCCTCAGCCACTCCTCACACGGCTTCCCCTCAAGGCCCTTCACCATCCTTGTGGCCCTCCTTCGGGCACTCTCTAATGGTTTAATGTCTTTTTTATGCCATGGCACCCAAAGCTGCCCCCAGCACTGGAGGTGAGGCTGCCCCAGGTCAGAGCAGAGCAGGACAATCCCCCCGTGCCCGGCTGGCGATGCTGTGCCCGATGTCCCCCAGGACAGTTGGCACTCTTGGCTGCCACAGCACTGCTGACTCACATTCATTGACCCCGACCACGAGGTCCCTTTGCAGAGCTTTGCTCTTCAGCCTCTCATTCCCCAGTCTGTCCATACATCCAGGGCTGCCCCTTCCCAGGTGCAGAATCCAGCACTTTCCCCCACTAAACTTCCTACAACTGGTGATCACCCATCTTTCTGATTTGTCCAGCTTTGGCAAAACAGTGACAGCAKCTGTGCTTTCCTCTGCTCCTCCCTTCATCCACAAGAAGGGAGTCAGATGGATCTGGTGAAGGTTTCACTCAAACGAGTTATACCAGAATGTTCCATACACTAATCTTGGTTAGATATGTAAAATATGCTCCAGATTTCCAGAACTACTAAGGTTTATCTGGATGATAGTGCTGTAAACACCGCAGAGAGCGAGGCACACTGCATCCAACACTCCACACACATTTATCACAGTCTGTTTTGCAGGGTCACGAGTCTGTCGCAGAAGCCCCTCCAAATTCTGCATTCAGATCAGAAACACTTTCAATCACAGATTCCCACATGGTTTCACAACCTGAAAGTGCCAAAGCATCACTGCTCTTGCACCAGGCTGGCAACCAAAGAGCAGCTCAGCGTGTTCCCAATGGGTCCCCACAGGCCAAGCCCACACAGAAATTTGGGACTTTTTGCTGGGAGCTCGACTCTCCAACTGAAACGAGTTTAAAGTCAAGAGCACTGTTTAATTCCACAAAAAAAACAGCTCTGCAGTCCAGATCAGCCCCTAAAACAGTAAAGATTCGAGTCAGCACAGCTGAGGCAGGAAAATCCCAGTAATGGGATGAAGAAGGGACTTCCTACAGTGCTGCCAAGGCTTCTGCCACAACCCTGTGAACTGGGCCCTCCACCCATCCAGCTCTCCTCAACTCTGAACCAGTTTTCCTTTCTGTACAGCACTGTTTGATATTACTTGCATCACACATCGCTGAAACGATTTTTTTTTCAATTTTATGTCCCCTGCGTGCATGAAATAAATGGTCTGAAATTATCTGGGATTTGCCAGGCTGTTAAATGCCTTTTATGGCCTTACAAATAAACTATCACTGCTTCATGGTTTAATACTAGGGATATTCTGTTCTTTCACTTTATGAAACAAGCATGTAGACTATTTTTATACCTAAATTATGTTTTGCAGTAGTCAAATTCTGAATTGTTCCAAGCAGCTAAGGACAGACAGGATGGATTGTAATGYAAAAATGTGCTAGAAACAACAGCAYATGAAATGATTACAAACTGGTATTTACAAAGGTACAAACAGGGGGTCTGAAGTCAGAGAGCAATGCTGGGGTGGGGTTTCAAAATTTCAGCTGAAATCCCAGGAAATCAGCTAACACTGTTAATCCCAGGGCTGTCTGTGTTTTCGACTGCTGCAGGAGGAAAAGCACCGCGTGCATTGGGACATTCATGGGGATGGGAAGGGATCACTCAGCCACCATGGAGGTGCCAGGAGGTGATGGGATTTCCAACAGCAAACTCTCCTTTTGAGCTGGTATCCAATGTGAGCTACACCAGTGCAGCACTGGGTCCTGCTCTTCATAGTCCAGCTCACACCCTTCTTCTCTAAAAACCCCTGGGAGGTACAAACCAGCTTTTCAAATGGATTTGGCTGTGTGAGACCATGAGGTGTTTAGCAGGACTTCAGATATACACAGGGGAGTGGTGTTCAGCAGAAAACACTGTGTGGAAATTTCATAAAATCCTGCGGGGTGCCTGAATCAGCTGTAGGTACTGACACAACTGTGGTAGACTGAGGCTATTCACAAAATTCTGCTGTAAATCTGGGAAATGAACCCTCCTCTCTCAAGCCACAGAGCAGAAGTGCAAACACACCCCTCTTCCTCTCATGAGGTTTTCCATCATAAAATCTCCCTGATTAAGAAAAAGTCAGTAAATGAATAAAGGGGATCAATAATTTGGCCGAGTCAGGAGTTTTAGATATCCATGATTGGAAACTGGACCTTCCTGCTGATAATCTTCCATAAAGCACTTTTATTTCTCAGCTATTTCTCCTTATTTTTTTTTTTCTAGCAAGAGTCCACCATCAGCAGTCAAGATAAATCTAGCCTTGCAACTCTTCTGGTACCTATTTATTACAAAAGGCTAATGCAAACATTACCCTAGCGGCCTAGGGAGAATTTGCCAAGTCTCAAAGTGGCTGAGAAGGGCACTGGTGCCATGCCAGTAATTTTCCTGCAGTCAATAAGAAAAACTGTCTGGCGCAGTGCTTAGCTGTCCACATGGCTTCTTTTGTTCTTTTCCCTTTATTAAAAAAGAAGAAGAAAAAAATAAAATAAAAAGGAGAAAAAAAAATAAAACTAATTAAAAAAAATCTTTAAAATATCATTCTACAGGGAAAACCAATGCAACAACCTCATGCATAGCCAAAAAGAAGCGACAGCGAAAAATCCCACAGCCAAAAATACTGAATTTAATCAACTGCCCTCAAAAGCCACCACTCTCACCCACTGACTTAGCCATTAATCACCTTTAACATCACCATCAGTACAACCTGGGACACTGCATGAATATTACCTGAAAGCCTATAAAAACTGAGATACAGACAAACCCATTTCCAGTAGAAAATCTAGGTAGTATGCAAACTATTTAATTATCTTAAATCTTGCATGTCTTAAGAAAGTTTAACAACGTGTTCAATTATGTTTAATTAAATAATGATTAATTATGTTTAATATAGCTTTATTATATTTTTGTACACAGAGCACTAAGCAAATAGCACGGATATATACATAATTAAACTGTGTTTCGAAATGCAAAGCAGAAGACACAGTTATTTCAAGAGGAAAGCAGCTGCTTTTTATTTATTCAAATCCTTAATATATTAAAATTTCAGGCTACCTGGTTATTTTCTTGGAAAAGATTACCACTGGCAATGAAACATTCTTGGAAAAATAACTACAGCAGTGACAAATAATAATCAGATTTTTTTCTTTAAGTTTTCCTCAGTTTATGATAATTTCTCCAAGGCATTATTGTTTATCAATCATGTTATTAARCTATGTTTTTAATCTCAAATATGTTCACTATTAGAAAGAAAATAAAAGAAAAATAATTTATTTATCTTTTCTCGCTTTTTAAACACAATGTTTACAACTCAGTTTCACCCCTGCTCCAACAYACATAAAAAGTATGCAAATTAAAGAAGGGAAACAACATAATGTGACATCGGTGACAGAGGTGCATTTTTATGCCCAAGCACACATTTGTTCGACAGACTTAAAAAAGAAAAAGTATCCAGTAACAYGTACTGATGCTTCCCTGCAAGTTAAATGCTGCCATCACCTTTCATTAAACTTAAACACACCCACAGCAGAGACTGCGTTTCGTGGCACTCTTGTTCCCTAACATATTTCTTTTCTTTTTCTGGCCAACATTAATGCAGAGTTTGACATGAATTTTTAAGTAGCTGTCAGGATGAATCAGAGATTCATAAATCAAAGGTATTCAGGCTGCAGTGAATGGATTTTATTTTTCTTCATTTTTTTGGCTAAGGAAACATTTAAACATATCAGTGCTCTGTCCTTATAAGCCAATAACCAAACAAGTTAGATAGAAATCACAGGTATTTGAGATGATTTAAGTCACTGTAACTTGCTGAAGTGTATCTGCCTAATCAAATATTTCTGGGTGGAGAAAATGCATCCTTTGGAAAAAGACTTTGAAGATCCTCTCCAAACCCACCCTCTCCATGCAGTACTTGACTGTGGAAAGTCAACCGATTTCAGCAGGTAATCCTTTATGCAAAAAACTGCAAACTTCAAGGTGACACCCTATTCACTGGTGACAACTGAAATGAAAGACTTCAGCACAGAAACAGTGGTTTTTATAGAAGAAGTGAACAGGTTTTACATCCAGAGGATGTACATAAATCCAACACCTTGGCTGCAGGCTGTGCTTAAAAACCTGTGATATTCCTTGATTCTGCTCTGGGAGCTCCAGAGGTGACACTGAACACMGTCCTCTCTTCTCATTAGCAGTCAGGGCCAGCAGTGGCAGGCTGCTGCTTTAATGCTTTGTCAGTTTTAGATAGAGGCTCTAAAATGTGGTCTTTCTGACACATTTTAGAATGGACAGTTTAATTCTTCATGCCTGGCAACAGCTAGAAGTCAGTCAGAGAAAYTAATTAACTATTGGAATAGAATTCCAATTTGGGAGGCATACAGAATCTTCTCTCTGAGATACCCTGTCAAGAGATAAATGAAGATTTGTCTTATACTGCAGATCAAAATCAAGTAGTAAGGCATTTACTTTTAGAGATTYTGTAAGAGAAGATTCAAA